GTCGGAATATTCAAATATTCCGACGCTTCGGATTTTCGGGAGGATCCTAGCCGCTCGTTGATTACACGTGTACGGTGGGAAAATTTTTCCGACGAGCTATAAATACCCCCAGTCCTTCAGGTCATACCTTACGCTTCCTGAATTATTGGAGTTYGATCTGAAAGGCAGCTCGAGCCCTTGGTAGGTCGGTCTCTTCCCTCTCACTTTCCCTTTCGAATCATAGTTTCCATGTCGTCCTCTTTTAGTAGCGACTTAGGATCTGATGAGGATTTAGCTCGTAGGTTGGAGTTCGAGCTCGAGGAGATAGAAAACTTTAGGTTCTCCGATGACGGGGAGGATAGTGATGCTTCCACCTCGGGTCAGGGTTTGGAATACCCTTCTAGGATACCCGAGCACTACCTCGGATCCCTTCGTAGGGGGTTCGCTATCCCTGAAAACATCCTCCTTAGGATTCCGGAGGAGGGGGAGAGAGCTGACAATCATCCAGAGGGATGGGTCACTCTCTACTTCAAAATGTTTAAGTACGGCCTCAGACTTCCCCTTCACCCTTTCGTCCAAGAGTTTCTTTTTCGAACTGGGCTGGCTCCGGCTCAAGTGGCCCCCAATGGGTGGGGTGTTATTTTTGCTTTGGCCATCCTTTTTTGGTTACGAGCTCAGGACAACGAAGAGGCCGAGCTGCTGGACGTAGACCAGCTCCTCGCGTGCTTCGAAGCGAAAAGGATAGCTAAGAAGCCCGGTCGGTACTATATGTGCGCAAGGAAAGGCACAGGAGGTATAGTTAAGGGGCCGACCTCCATCAAGGGATGCGTGAGGAAGTGGTTCTACGCTTCTGGGGAATGRCTTGCAAAGGACGAGTCAGGTCGTTCCTTCTTTGACGTTCCCACTAGGTTTGGGAACCTAGGTACGGAGTAGTTCTTACTTTTTGTGATTTTCTTTCCTGTCATTCAGGTCTAACTCGGACTTTGTCTTTGTGCAGTATCAATCCGACCAGTCCCCGAGCTTACTCAAGCCT